TTGTCTACGGTTTCCTTTTGCAGTTTTTTACCTTTTGTCAAGCAGATAGGCATTTCAGGTAGCAATGGGTGTTGATTAAAAGGCGAAGACAACTTTTTTTTTCGACAGTAGAAGGGTTATCATTGTATTCAGGGCCTCTGAGTAATTGGTGTTCGTGTGATTAGTAGGATGTTTTGGTGCTAGTTATCGGGTGGAGGAAGGGAATAGAATAGCTAATTACAGCGCATCAGTTAGTATGAGTTTGTAATTGAAATCAGTATGGAATAGTTGGGGATGCGGATACAGTAACGTTGTTTTAAAATGATCATCAGTTTCTATTTTTTTTTTTCTGTACTTTTGGAGGAGCGTATTTTCATCGGCAGTTTAAAATTGCTGCTGTATTATTGCAATAAAAACTTTTTTGTTGTTGTTGTTGTTTATAGGTTGGTACTGTTGTTGTACTACTAGGCGTTTTGGAGTAATATTAACAACAACGAGAACAAGAAAAAACTGTAAAGGAGGTTTTTTTTAAAAATTTTTATCTGAACACAAGCAGTTGTAAAAAACGGAGAGAGAGAAAGAGAAAAAGAGATGGTCTTTTTAGAGTTTAGTTGAGATGGATGGGTAAAGCCGTGATCATCCATCGTTTTTGTGTGTTTCTGTGTCAGCGTTTGCTGTTGTTTGCTGTTGCAGTTGTAGATGTTGTTTTTATTGTTGTTGTTTGACGTATCAGCGGAGCAAAAGAAAAAAAGAAGACAATTTTTTTTTATTTTGGCAACAAATCTGAAATAATTAAACAGGCTTTGCAATTGTGAAAAATTGCAACATCAGAACTCGAATTAATGTTAGAATTTTTTGCGTCCTAGTAGGAAGATGGAAGGGAGAAAAAGAATTTTAAAAACGGTTGATCTCAAAGTCATTTTACCGCAACCGCTACTTCATCATCGTCACTGGTAGCATCATCGGTATTGTCGTCGTCGCCATTTTTGTCATTTTTTTCGCTCTCACTTCGTCTTCTTCTTTTGGTCGGCAGCAACAGCAGCATTCAGGATCATCTGCTGGCTTTCTTTTAGAACGGATGAACGTTTCTGTGCGTGTTTGTATGCATATTTTGAATGGTTTGGTGGCAGTGATGTTTTTATGAAACAAAGTTTTTTGAAGGGGGGGGGGGGAAGGGGGAGGAAGGGAATGCAGAAATTGTGCTATGATTCTCAGTGGTCAATTTACATCGGTTGAGAAAAGCCATCGAAGTTCCTTTGTTCAGTTTTTCCACTTTATTGTTCCTTTTATTTGAGTTCTTAACTGGAGTTCTGGCTTTTTTTTCTTGTCAATTGTAATAACTGTTGAGCACATTAACATCTCATTTCTTGTTGTTTTTGTTTCTGTTTTTCTGTTCTTTTTTTTTCGCTTCTGCTAGTGCTTGCTCTTGTTGTTATTGAAATTGAACGTTAGGGTTCACCTGCTTTTAATTAATTTAGTTTTAAAAATATTTTCTTTCTTTTTTTTCTGGACGTTTATTGTGGTTGTTTTCAGTGTGGTTCAGTCTTTCAATATGTGGGAAAAAATTTTTTCACCTTTATTTGAAATAAATAGAAGAAAAGCTCATGTACTGGAAAGAAAGAGTTTGAAAAGAGGGGAAAGTTTCAAAGTTTATTTTTTCTGCTTTTTTTATTTTTGAAACTGTTAGAGGTGATGCTAACAAACAAAGAGGTTTTCCAAAATGAAAAATAAATACACAAGTAAAGAAGATGAGTGGTTCATGAAAACAATTCTACAAAGTAGCGAAAAATTTCATTTTGCCACTATATTTCCCCTCCTTCATTGTCATCTTAGTTGTCATCGTCATTTTTTCAATCTCCTGTATCTACATTTTCTTCTCCCGCTGAGTCTTCGTGGAACACCTCGAAATAGCTGTTGAGTTGGCTGCATAATTGAAACGTTGAAGATAATTTAGCGGTATTTTTGGCCAGAGGAAAAGTGGATGAGGACAGAACAGTGTAATGAATGACTGTTATTTTAGTGTAATGAGTTTAGGAGATGAGAACAGTATAAGATCGTAGTAGATTTATCAAATTTAGTCCTGCTGAATTAGTCTTATCAGTTGAAGTCTGCTAAGTCATTCCTTAGTTATTTACCTTGTTTAACCAACTTACTGTGCATGCGATCTTAATACACTACGTCACAGTAACCTATGTAATCGACAGCAGTGGTAAGAGTAGTAGCAGCCACCGGATGATGCTGACTCAGTTTTAACTGAACTGGTTAACCGAGTCAAACCCTAAGCAACTAGGCAAGCAGGTAAGCAACCAGTTTGCTAGTATGCTGATCAGTGAAACGTCGCAAAAAATTCTTTGGATATAATTTGTAAAGTGAGAGAAGAAAATAAAAATTAAGATAATATTTCCGCCTTAGATATTATTGAGTGGGTGAGTGTTGTGTTATAAGCGTTGTAAAGGAGAACAAAAAAGAAGAAAAAAATGAAATAAAAGAAAAAGTAGAGGAAAAAAAATGCGGTGAAGAGACGCTTTTGCTGAGCTGTAGCGAATTGTCTTCGGATGTTTAGTCAGTCAGTCGTCAGTTTGTGTGTGTGCGTGTGCAACATGATCCTTGGGTATTTTTCTTCCGTATCGTTTGCGTCGCCCTACATAATATACCTTTATATTATTTGAAACTTAACAACTTTTAACTGATTTTATGATTTGTTCGCCCGGGTTTTTTTCTTTTTTTCATTTTTTTTTTTTTTTTTTTTT